TAAGATCAAGTCACGCACCGCTGACTGAGCTGGTCAGGTATCCCTCACTTCATTTCTTATGGGCAGAAATTCCTAATTCAGCAATGGCTTTTATATTAAGTTTTTTCAATAGGTCATGCATTTGCATGGTACAGAATCCAAAAAGTACAATGGAATATATGGTGAAAATTTTCCTTTGTGCCCTGTGCTACCCAGTAAACATTGCAGAAGCAGGAAATAACGTTTCTGTCTTCTCCCAGCAGTAGGTTGTGCCTGTACAGGCAGGCAGATGCACGTCTTGCATGACATGCTCTACCTGGTATACACCTTGCTTTTCTCCTTTGATAACAGGAGCTCCATAGTCTTTCAAAAAAGTGCCCCGACCCTTCTTAATGCTGCATATGGATGTGTCATGAACCCTTGGGTTTTTTTCAATCTTTTTGTGACTTTTAAAAAAAAATTATTTATTCATGAGAGACACAGAGAGAGAGAGGCAGAGACACAGGCAGAGGGAGAAGCAGGCTCCATGCAGGAAGCCCGATTCAGGACCCGATCTCAAGACTCCAGGATCATGCTCTGAGCCAAAGGCAGACGCTCAACTGCTGAGCCACCTAGGTTCCCCTTTTTGTGGCATTTTAAACAATTTGTTTTAGAGACACCTGGGTGGCTCAGTTGGTTAAGCGTCTGCCTTTGGCTCAGGTCACGGCAGGCTCCCTGCTTCTCCCCCTGCTCTCTCTCTCACTCTCTCTCTTTTTCTTTCTCTCTCGTACGCTCTCTCTCAAATAAATAAAATATTTTTAAAAAGCCCAAACCATTTTGTTCTAGTGGGCATATTTCAGCAAGGTGACTGGCATATTTTTACTGTGTTCGGCAGCACATGTGGCTGGTGGCCCTGTCCTGGGCGGTGCAGGCCTGACCTTTTGTCAGGAGGCAAGGGGTGTTGAGGTTTCCTCACTCAGCCCTGCTTTGCCCCTTGTCCTTCCTGCCTCTAGGGGTGAACTGGACAAGCCTGTGGCTCACAGTGTGGAAGAGGTGGAAGCAAGGGAGCTGTGGCCAGGGTCTGTGCAAAAACCCTGCTCGACTGTTCTTGGTGAGGACCAGGTGCTGATGGGCCATTTTGTCCCATTAAACGCATGTAGTTGAATGCGTTCATGTCTGATCTTACTGTGATTCTGACGATGCACTTTACCTGTGGCATGGTGCCCCACAGCTCACAAGAGAGCTGCTGGGCAGAAATGAACACACCATTATTTTTAGCATTGGGAAAATGCTAAAAAACTTTGTCGTTTTTTCCCATAGCTCTTCCTCTGAGTTGTTACCTATTGAAAAGAATTATTTTGCAAGCCAGGGGTGAGGACCCCAGTGAAACCCTGACTCCTTTTTCCTGCCCAAGGGTCTTTGCCTCCCTCAGGCTCTGAGGATTATTCTTTATCCTTGACATTGGGTGTGACTTAGTCATCAACCACCCCAAAGTGTGTTTCCCAAGGCCTCTTGAGCATTGATGTAAAATGCATCTGGATAGGCCTTATCATCAGATCCTTGGTGGGGCCTGTGCCTCCTGGGTCACCTTCCTTCAGCCCACCATTCCCATTAACCTGGCCTCTATCCCCAGGTCCCTCTGATGCCTTCAGGGTGCAGAGTGCTGGCTCAGCTGAAGGGGATTAGGTGGAGGATCAGGTGGTCAGTCCCCTAGTGGAGAAGCCCCCGCGTGGTGATGGGACAACAGTAACTGTTCCCGTGAACCGAGTGTGTGCATGAGGCAGCGGGCCAGGCCTGTGAGGTCCTTAGCCTTGTTTGACCCTCGAAACACATCTGTGAGGTCAGCACTCATGTCTCCTCTTTCAGGAGCACATTGAGGGTAGGGGGATCAGCACTGGTGCCATAAACAGGTGGAAGCCGTGGAGGGGATTTGGGGGACAGGGCTGGTGCGAAGCGTCTGTGCTTTCAGAAGATGGTCCTGCCCCCTATATGGAGGAAAGATTTCTGGAGCATTGTGGCAGATGCAGTGGGAGTTCTTCAGGGGCCCAGGGCTTGATGGATCATGGTCCTATGCCTGAGAGACACCTGAAGAAAGGGAGGGGTAAGCATATGTGGGGTGTGACCGGCTGTCTGCAGACCCAGAGAGACACAGGGAGGAGGGCTGGACAGTGGGGCCAGACCCTTGCCAAATCAGGTGAGAGCTTTGGCGCTAACCTGAGGAGAGACGGTTTCTGAGCAAATAAGACTCCTTGTTTTGTTAAGTATAGTTGAGGCCCTGGATGAATGCACCTGGTGGGTTGTTGTGAGAGCTTCCTACCTGTGGGGTACTCCTGGGGCGAGGCTCATGAAGGATTGTAATGGGTTCAGGGCTTCTGGGCTCTCCCTGCGCCATCCATGCACTGGCCTCGGAAGTGGGGTTGGGGCACGGGATGGGCAGAGGCAGTTGCTTGGCTCTACCTGGCCTTCTGGGCCCTGCAGCCAGCTTCATGTCAGTCTTCCAGTGACCCACCAACCTGGAAGGGAAGCCAGAGGCTGGAGACTTTCTGTCCATTCAGGACTACTCTGCCTCTCATCCACAACAAATAGTACCACCATGGATACCTTTCCCAAGCCTTTCCAAAGTCATGGCCTGTCCTGTGTCACGATCTTTAATGAGTGCTGTCTGCACTGTATCTGTACAGACTCACAAGTACTCAGCAGGGATGGAAATGCAAGGCTTCTGTTTCTCCTGCTGCTTCTCCCGCTGGCTGTTTCTGTGACTAGCACTGAGTTCCACTCTGTCTCCCGGCTCACAGATCACCCAGTCTCTTCTGTGCGCCTCTCTGTTCCATTCCTGACCCCTCTAGGCCTCCCACCCCGCCACTCGTGGCTCTCCAGAACAGGGTCGGAGTTAACCAGGAGGTGTGCTCCTCACCCTGGGCCCCACCCCTTCCAGATGCAGCTGGGGTCCTCACCTCTTGTCCCTTAAGCCCAGTTGCCTTCCCCATAGCCAATGCATCTTTAGCCAACGTAGACTGTCAGTGAACTGAATTCTGGGTGCCCAAGCCCTTAGTAGTACCCTTCTGGGCACCTCTGGCTTTAGCTAGGGTTGAGCTGCATGTCTTCCACCAATGGCTAAGTTGTAGATGTTAAGCAGGTTGGGCCTGGGCACAGCTCTGAGTTTACTTCTCACAAAGGTGCTTGTGAGGTGCTTGAATCGCCTTGGGCTCTGAAATGGATTCTATTATAATCACAACAGAAGAGAAAGGAAAAATACAGTGCAACTGTTTCCCTTTTTGAAAGTTTTTATAACTTGATTTCGATAGGATTTCAAATGCATTGAAAAGTTGCAAGAAAAACACAGGGAACTTCTGTGTATTTTTTACCCAGTTTATGTCTCACTTTATGTGTTTTATCTGTTCTGTGACTATGGTATGTATACCATGGAAGCAAATAAGTATTTAAGTATTTCTTTGAAGCATTAGAAGAGCCAGTTGGAAATATCAGTATATTTTTCCTAAGAACAAAGGCATTCCCTTACATAGTCACTGTTCAGTTACGAAGATCAGGATATTTAACATTAATCTCGTGTTCTTTCCAAGTCCATGGTCTGTGTTCACATTTCATCAGTTTTTCAGGAATCTTCTGTGACAGTCCATCTACCTGTAGCTGCCATGGATGTACTGTGCCAACTCTGAGGAAATAAGACTGACTGCCTGGTTTGAGCAGGGATAGAGAATCTCAACTCTGAGCACTTGCCCAAGGAGGTTTACCTTTGTAATAAGGAATTTGTGGGAGGTGCTTTCAAACTATGTGCAAATTCTCTTCCTCATCCAGCTGTCAGCTACTTGGTTGAGTGTCCACTGGTCTTTTCCTACCTCCATTTGTCTTCCAGGGCTTGTTAGGCTGCATTCTAAAGCTTTCCCTCCTATGTTTATTTGTGTCTGCTCGTATCTGTATGGGCTCTTGGATTTTTGTTTCATTCAATGGATTATAATCCCTTGCCCTCCTTATTTCTTTTGATGGTTAGATTGTTCTAGATTTAGCCAGTGGGAGTCCTTGTTTCCAGCTGGCTACTGTTTCCTTTAAGCATGTCCTCATATTTTTTTGAGTACTTTCTTACTTTCTAGCAGAGGAGATGCTGTGGGTTCATTTTATACTTTCCAATGAGCCCTGGAAACCATTTGTTTTTAATGCAAGCACCAACACATACATTCCAAAGTGTAGTTTATTTTGTTCTACCATTTGGGATTTATTTGTGTTATTTGGGACCTTTGTTTACATGTTATTGGGAAGGAAGACCTCGTGACTTATCTCCTGAGTAGCTTTCATTTCATGGTACGCGGAGACTCTTTATAAATAGCTTATGTAGATTTTTACCGTATAGATAACTTAAACTGAACTAGAGGTTATTAAAATAACTTTTTAAGATTTTATTTATTTATTTATTTAGAGAACAGCAGTGAGGAGAGAGAGGGAGAGAGAATCTCAAGCAGCCTCTGTGCTGAGTGTAGAGCCTAATATGGGGCTCAGGGCCAACGACCCTGAAATCATGACCTGAGCCGAAATCAAGAGTTGGATGCTCAAGGGACTGAGTGTCCCCAGGCACCCCAGCAACTCTTATTTTTTAAACACTGATTGTGTATCTGTAATTTTAATTCCTACAAAGACCCTTATTAAACATAAACTAAGGCTCAGAAAAGTAAATGTACTGGTCAAAGTTACACAGCTAGTGAGTGGTTGGGTCAGAGTTTCAATTCAGTTCGGTCTGTCTTTAAAGCTCACTTTTCCTGAAATACTTTGTTGTAATATAAAGTATTTCCTTACTCTGAATTGTAGACTTTGTACATGTTACAGCTGAACGACAAAAATTTTATTTGTGGTTTGGGGGCTTATCCTCTGTGTCTTATATGAAAATCAGGTCTGAAGAATTAAAGCTTGTGGTTCATCACATTGTTCTCTCAGAGGAAAGTCCACTTGTTTTCATTAGAGAGTGACTCGGCAGTCCTGGTGCTTCTACGAATACCCAGAAGTTCCCTAACCCTCTTATTTTCTTCCTATAGGAATTTGCTTGCTAGAAAACAGAATGCAAGACTTGACAAACAAAATGACTTGGGATGGAAGTTATTTGGAAAAGTACCACTTCGAGAGAATACTCAGAAAGATTCAAAGAAAATACAAAAGGTATACGAGATACAAAAACACAGAAATATGCTGTGCAGCATATATTTGTGAACCTTGTAAAAATGACCTTTGTGGAGGCTTTGAGATTGGAAAACTGTGTTGATCTGCATGCCAAGTTCTAAAAATGTAAGCCTTCCTTGAGAAAGTTGATGACTTTAACCTTTTCCTTTTCTTTTAGCTCACCGCATATGTACAGGAGAGAGCTGGCTTCAGATCTTTGTAACTTCACTTAATCAGTTTTTCCAATAATAGTTGCAGATGTGTTTATTGTCACATTTTTATTAATTGTGTTCCTTATTAAAGCACTCTCCCTCTCTGATACCATGGGTTTCCTGGAGCTTAATTCTTCCAGTGCTGATTTGGCCAGGAATGCAAGGGCCATTGTTCACCCTGGCTGTAGTATGTCTCCCTTCCCCTTGCGGGCTCAGAAGCTTCCCACTTGTCCGTGGGGGGCAGGGCATGAGGTTCAGAGGTCAGGCAGCTCCGATGGTATTATCACCACTGGGCTGTCTCGCTCCCCATGCATGGAGTGATGCCAATAGCTGGAGGCATGTGCTCAGTTTTTCATAGAAGGCTCATGCATAGACTTAGTGAGGCCAGGGGGATCTGTGGCTTCGGAAGCCCAGTTCCCACCTGCATTCTCCCCTGGGCTCTGAGCCCCAGCCATCGTCACAGATTGCTCTTGGCCCAGTGCCATGACAATGCCCTCCAGCAGGCTGATTCCTTCAGCCTCTGTTTTGTATTCATTGACAGTTGTTCACTGAATACTTTTGAGGACCTACTAAGTGCCAGGCCTCCCGTGTGGTGCTGGGCTTAGAGAACCGACCACAGTACCTTGTTTCAGAGGATTCTAAGGCAGGTAGGGAAAGGAGCCCTACAGGTGTGTGTGGTTGGGGGCAGGGCCTGCTGGGCCAGGCTGCACGGAAGGTTGAGTTCACAGGTGTGGCAAAGATAATAACCACAGGGGATCATGAACTCAGTGATTACTCTGTGCCAGTTTCATGTGAGTCAGCACTTGGGTTTCTAGTTCATTTAAAGCTTGTAACAGCCTTCTAAAGAAGGTACTATTATCGTCATTTTACCAAAGATGACACAGGCTGAGTGACTTGTGCACAGCTGGAACCTACCCCAGGGCCCTCACTGCTCCTCTGTCCCTGTGCAAGGAAGGGGCAGGAGAAAGTGATAGCCACCTGTGCTGAGGGGGCAGTGTACAGCACGAGCCCAGGGAGAAGTGGGAGGGGCCATTCATGGGGCCTGGGTGATGTGCTGGGCCTGGAACCTGTCTCTGACCTGAAGGCTTGGGGGAACTCCTGGAGAGTTTTACTTATGTAAGGATTGAGCAGTCCCCTTGGCAAGAATGTATCTGTTGGCCTAGTCCAGAGGAGTAAAGTGGGGTCTGGCCAGGTGATACAGTTGCTGTGGGTTGCAGAAGATAGCCCCTTTGAGTTCTAGACATGTTGGATATGTGGGTGCAGTGTGTGTGGTGAGGCGGTGAGCACATGCTAGGGGTCTGGCTTGAACAGCATGGTGGATCTGTCCCATTTCATGTTTTTCTGCCTTGGCAAACTAATGGTGTTCTGAATGTTGTCCAACATTCCCCATAGCTGTTGTCTGGGCCCAGGAGTCTCAAAAAGTACATTAGTGTTGGAATTTGTTTTTATAGATTGTTATATTTTGAATTTGAACCACTTATTGTGTAGGCTACTATTGCAGTAGCATACAATTAAAAGGTGATGAGTTTGTATGCAAAGCTCATCTATAAATTTCTTAAAAACTAAAGAGCCAAGCTGTTAAAGAATTTTTAAAGAAATCCACAGTTTGAAAAAAGTAATCATTATACTAGATTTTCACATGACTCTTAATATCACTTGCATCGTGCTTGAATTTCTTTATTATCTTTGTCATACCTTTTTTTTTTTTTATAAAGGGGAACATGGATCATGTTCTTGAACCTAAAGGATTTTTGTGAACTGAAATGACTAGGTCCACTAATTATGTGGTAACACAGTATTGCAGAGAAGAGGACCATCTGGCTTCAACCATCAATAATAAAGGATGTAATTGTACCTGCATGAGTCATATGATCTTGCCTGTGTCCTATTTGCTCATGCTTTGTGTCTCTGGCCCTCTGATCTCTCATCCCATGCCTCCCCCCCTGGTCTGCCAAGGCCCCTGAGGGATCCAGGGCCAGGGACCTGCCTCTGTGAGGCAGCTCCTGAGCATCAGGCTGGAGCTGGCTGCTGCCACAGATGTCAGCTCACACCCTTGAGAGAGCTCAGAGCCATGGCTGACTGCCAGGGCCTGTGATCCCAAATGGTGATAACTTCAGTTAGAGCTGAAGCATAAGTAAGGGTTTAAGAAACTCTAGTTCCTTTTCCCGTTCCTTTGGAATGTTTTATTACTTGAGAGAAGCAGCATCACATAGTGATTTAAGAGCATGGACTTTGGAGTCACACTGGCAGTTTGTATCCCAGCTCTGCCATGGCTCCTCTGTGTGGCCAAGTCACACAACCTTCTGAGCCTCATTTCCTTCCTCCCTAGAATCTGGAGAATAGCAGTGCCAGCCTTAGGGTGGAGGGCGGGGGGGGGGGGGCGGGAGGCGGTGAGGGTTACATGTATGAACATATATCATGTGCTCAGAACAGTCCTGAATGTTGTAAATGCTGGAAAGCATTTGCTGTAATTATTGTGACAAGTCCGCCTTGAACCACGGGAAGTGGAAAACAGTGTGAGAGAATGAGCCTGAGGCCTCCACAGATCCCTTCACCTGCATGTTCAACAAACACTGCACCTTGCTGTGGCCAGGTCTTGTGGTTGAATTGGCTTGCCTCAAGGAACCCGTGGTGGAGCCGAGGGGACAGTTGTGCAAACCAGCCAAGATTGTTGGCCTTGCAGACTTGCACTGACTTTCCAGCTTCATTTCTCCTTATTTGTATGATTTTGGGCCAGTTTACTCCTTGGCAAAATGGGCATTAGGAGTCCTACTGTCTGAATTGTTATACATTAAGAGATAATGTATGTGAAATATTTTCCTCCGATGTTTAACACAGCCTGTGGTCCAGTTAGTAGGAAGGAAGGAGCTATCACGACAATTAAGAAATCTGTCCAGCAAGTGGCAGACGCTACCTCCATTTTGCCCAGGGGACTCTGGTGCACATCTGACTTCCTTGTCACTTGGCCAGTCTCTCCACTTGAGCCTTATATATACATGGTCGCCATTTTTAGGAAATGTTGTGATGTTACTTTCAGTTATATTTTCAAATTTCATAGAAGTTTTGAAAAGTAAGTGATTTTCTCTCAGCTTACATTATTTCAGAGAGATTTTCTAAGTAGGGGGAAACAAAAATGACCAAGGATAGTTATGAGAATCACACTAAAGCAGTGGTCCTGGGAGTAAGGTCCCTGGACTGATATCATTACCACGTGGGAGTTTGTTAGAGACACAGGTTCTTAGGCCTCACCCCAGACCTACTAAAGAAGCTGCATAGCTGGAGGCACAGCAGGCCGTGTTCTCGCAAATGCTCCACGTATGGGTAATGTGTGCTCATGTTTCAGAAACGCTGCTACTGGAGAAGGGAATCTTGGATATTGGGGAGGAAATAGCCATCTTTGTCCAGAATGGGTTAAATAAAAGGTCTGAAATACACCAGATACACATTGTAGTCATTGCTGGTGAACTGGAGAGGCCCTGGGAGTCAAGACTGGGAGAAGGTATTTGAAGACTGCTGCTTTCAGCTCTCCTATCATCCGGTTTGTATTGGTCCATCTGGGCAGTGTGCCCTTTGCCTTGTGAATAAAGAGGACCCTTCCTTCTTGGATTCCACAGTCCTTTGTTCCACAAACTTGAGCCACTGTTGGGGTCCATCCTGGGATTACAATGAAAGGCAAGACTTACATGCCCACTGTCTTCATTGGAACTTAATAGTAGATCAGGGAAAGACAGATTTAAGCAAAATAACTATAGTTAATTGCGGCTATGATAAGCCTTGTGAAGAAGAGTGGCATGCAGCCATCCTAGAGTTTCTGCACCACTGGGTTTTCAAGTGACAGCTGGTTCCTAGGTCCGAGTGTCATTCATCAGCCTTTGTCTTCTCAACCTCTCTTCTGCTCCTGGGGAGCCTTTCTGACCTTGACTTCCAGGTCACCACACGCTCCCCTGCTGGGTGCCCTTTAGATTTTAGAGTGCCTCCCAGGTGCTTCTCTGTTTCAGGTCACCCTCTAGGAGACCTCAGCTAGACTGGAGGCTTTAAATACTGCACCCCCTCATTTGTTCCGGTGGAGGGCCCCACTGGATGTCTGACAGTACTTCCTGTCTCGTGTTTTTTTTTCTGTTACGTTGGGCTGATTCCCTTTGCACCTTTCCCCATTTTGGAAAGTGATAGACTTAGCCTTCTGTTTCAGGTCTCAAACTGAGAGTTGTTCTTGACTTTTGTCTTCTCACATCCTCCTTCCAGTCTGACTGGCGTTTTGTTTATGTTTGAGTTCTGTTGATGACTTTGAAGTGCAGCCAGGTTTGAGAAGCAGTGACTTGCTAGGGAATTTTGATGCTCCAGTGAAGTTGTGTGGGTGAAATCTTATTAAAAGATCTCACTACCATAGCCTGGCATGAGGTAGTTGTGGCTTACTGTCCCTAAATCGCTCGAATTATTGGAAATGGGGAGTGCATTTGTAAAGATAAATTAGCAATACCTATTATCCTGGTTATATTAATTTGTAGAAGATGTAGAGGATGTTAGGAAATGAAGAAAAAGAAAATACGTGGTGTCTTATTGCCCCGAATAAATACTGTTTGCATTTTGGTATTTTTCCTTTCAATAATTTTCCCATGTACAATCTTTTTATTTTTTGAAGAAAAGACCACTTAAAAGGTAAAAAAAAAAAAATGGGTCTTTGTAATTTGTTTTTTTTTTTTAATATTTTACTTATTTATTTATTTATGAGAGAGACAGAGAGAGAGGGAGGGAGGGAGAGGCAGAGACACAGGCAGAGGGAGAAGCAGG